GGAGAGTTTTCTCTATAACCAAACGAATATGCGCACCAATGAAACCAAACTTTTCACATAGGTAGGGCAATGCCCGCTTTTGGTGTAGGTCAAGATGTCTGGAAACCCCCAAATCTGGGTTAGCCCGCTTATCCTTAAAAGCGACCAGTTATGTTTGTGCAGTACTAGACTAATTGTTTGCTTTTTAGCACAAGGGGGCAAGAACTATCCCGAAAAATGCTGTTTTGAGAAAACCGAAGGTAAAGTTTTTTGTTGTTTTTTTTACCCTTTCTACTGCTACTCCTTGGCTCCTTCTTACTGCTATTTTTCAGCCTCACCCCTGATCTTCTAGTAGGAAAGATCTACACCTAGCTTTCTCGGACAAGGGCTAAAAATCTTGGAGGTCCCGTGTGCAAGTTGCTCACGGTAAAGATCCCTTGGTGGTCTAAAATCGATAAGAGTAGGCTTCGGCCGCCACCCGGGCAAAATTCGAAATTTCCCACCAACTGAAAATGTTGAATGTGTCACCGTGCGCTCATATTACCTTATTATGGAGTTGCGAGCGCCGTAAAACTCTTACCACCCCCTCTTACAGAAAACAAAAACAAAAACAAAAACTTTGTTCTCGTGCATGTAACGGCAAAGTGCCCCACCGCTGCACCACAGACACCGGTCTGTACTCGTATCTACAGGTTCAGGCAAGTAGCAATGTTAATGATATCATATCATAATTATATCATAGGTAATATTGTTGTTGATCGCTTGTAATGTCTACAGAAGATTTGTTTTGGTGTCAACACTTTTGCATTGTCGAGGGGGAAGGGGGAGGGGGAGGGGGAGGGGGAGGGGGAGGGGGAGGGGGAGGGGGGAGGGGGAGGGCGTAAGCGTGAGGTAATGAGGTACAGGACGAGAGACATGAGATGAGGAGCAAGCTATCTATAATTAAGGCATTGGCGTGGTGGCATTATGGTTGTCGTGTCTTGTGGCCGGGTCAGGAGTTGGGAGCGAGGTGGAATTGGTTGGGGGGAGGGGGGAGCGAAGTGGGGAGCGGGGAGGGGGGGGGAGAGTTAACTCTTTCTATACAATTTGCTATCCGGGCGGCTCAACTCACCGCTCAGGTATTTACAGTCACAGCAAGAACGTACCTAATCCCAGTCAGTCCTTCGTATTTATGACGAAACTATCTTCACTGCAAGGATCATTCATTCCTGCTCAGTTTTGGAGTTTATTTGTATCATCATCATTGCCTTTCTCACCCTGCACCAGGGTATAGGCCACGGACAAACACTTTCTCACCCTGCACCAGGGTATAGGCCACGGACAAACACTTTTTCACCCTACACCAGGGTATATGCCACGGACAAACACTTTCTCACCCTGCACCAGGGTATAGGCCACGGACAAACACCTTCCACCTTTCTCTATCCTGGACTAGCCTCTTGATGTCATTCCATGTCTTCCCACTTTTCTGCGACATCGATTTCTGTGATTCTTCTCCAGGTTCCACGCGGTCTTCCCCTTGATCTCTTACCCTGTGGGTTCCAATCCAAAACTGTCTTTGTTATGCAGCTGCCTGACTTCCTGAGAGTATGTCCAATCCATCGCCACCGCCTTCTTCCTACCTCATCTCTGACTGGGATCTGTCTTGTCTTGTTTTCCATTTGTATGCACATAGGTACAACAGGAAAGGTGTTGCAGAAAAAAGTGTTGTGGGGATGTTTGTAGATCTGAAAACTGGGTCGACAAATCTGGCAGCTGTTAGAGGAGTCTAAGGGTTAATGGTGACACCACGAGAACGAAGACAGGAGCAATATGTAATGAAAGCAAATACATGATATATCAGTGTTGTGTGTGTGTGTTTGGTTGTGAGAGGTGTGTGTGTGTGTGTGTGTGTGTGTGTGTGTGTGTGTGTGTGTGTGTGTGTGTGTGTGTGTGTGTGTGTGTGTGTGAGTATGTGTTTGTGAGTATGTATGTGTGTGTATGTGTGTGTATGTATGTGTGCATGTGTGAGTATGTGAGTGTATTTTTGAGTGTATGTGTATGTGTGTGTGTTCGTGTATAATAATAATAATAATAATAATAATAATAATAATAATAATAATAATAATAATAATAATAATAATACTAATAATAAATAGCATTTGTATAGCGCATATCCCCGCTCAACAGCAGGCTCTATGCGCTTTACACTATATTATTACCCCAGCAGACCATAGTACACTCCGAAACATTCTCAGCTTCTCGGGAAGCATACAGTGCAAGCAGCCGATTAAGCGCTCAAACACTAACAAACTGACAAGATCTTTCGCTGTCTATAGCCGGGTACCCATTCCCACCTGGGTGAAGTGAGGAAAATTCGTGTAAAGTGCCTTTCCCAAGGACACAACGTCGGGCCCTTGACGGGATTCGAACCCACGACCTTACGGTTGCGAGTCCGAGAGCCTAACCACTAGGCCACCGACGCCAATAATTCCTCTTAAGAGTGTGGGCATCTACTCTTGTGGCCTAACACTAACTGAACCACGTTTCTGTACACTATACATGTACTCACTTGTAGGCTCGTTTGCACGCACACTCACACACACACGCGCACACACACATATACAAATACACACACACACACACACTTACACATACTCATGCAAACACACACACATGTTATATACACACACGCACACACCCACACACACACACACACACACACACACTCATACAAATACAATTTCAGCCATGTACATTTATACCCACACAAACATTCTAATATGTTTGCCCCCCCCCCCCCCCACACCCAACAACCTTGTGGTTTTTCCAGTGGACATCACAACATGATTTTTAAAGTTATGAATGTAGATGGATTCACAAAATAATCGTTGCGCAGTATTGTGAGGCAATATTTCTGTACTTACTTTTACTTTGTCCTTCCTCTGGTATCCTTAGGATGTGGAGGGGAGGTGCAGGTTTCGGTCCTGTGCTAGGTGTGTAGCGTCTGTGATAGATATGTTGTCCTGTGCTAGGTGTGTAGCGTCTGTGATAGATATGTTGTCCTGTGCTAGGTGTGTAGCGTCTGTGATAGATATGTTGTCCTGTGCTAGGTGTGTAGCGTCTGTGATAGATGTGTTGTCCTGTGCTAGGTGTGTAGCGTCTGTGATAGATATGTTATGTTGTTCCAGGACATTTCTGGGCCGGATTCTCGAATATTTCTTTAAATCAGATAAATCTGTACTGAGTCGCACACCTTCATGGATCTTTCTGGGGAAAAAAAGGGAATTCGAGTCATCCTTTCTCCGTTAAAACTGAGTCCTGTTCTTGGGTTTTCGATCAGGATAATATATTCCCTCTCTTATGTCCCATTACGCTTTGTGGAGCCAGTCAACTCCTCTTCTCAAGAGACATGCGATTAATTATTCAGTGGCTTTTTTCACAACCGTTCACCAATCTCTTCATGTTTGCCTTTACTCTTTCCTATCAGCCCCGCACAGAACGCACCATCGCTGAACGTTGCATAATCAAAGATCTTTGGCATAATATTATTCTTTTTTCTTGTACAGCAAACTTGTTAATACGGGGTGCCCACTACGGCTGGATGGGGCCGATCGCACGACTCGAACGCCTGGAACTGAAAACAAACAAGTTTGTTTTTGAGGCGATGAGTCGGGCGATCCCAGCCGATCCCAGCCGATCCCAGCCGTAGTGGGCATCCCGTATTACGTTTGTGGGAAGGCGCTTTGACTCGTTGCGTGCTAATTCCATCAAGAGCTACTAGATCTAGATCTAATGGAAAAAAAAGAAGAAAAAAATGACAATTACTCCCTTCCCCAACCACATCAAAGGAAAGAACCAGATTTGATTTTTTAAAAATGAAACAAAAGAAAAACGAGAACTCCGTAACCAATTTAAAAAACAACAACACGGGTTTTCATTAAAGCTGTGAACGGATTTCTGTCATTTGGTATTATTATTTTATATATATATATTTTTTAATTTGCTTTGTTTGCTTTGTTCGCTGTGTTTGCTTTGTTCAGGACTCCGGCTGAAGGAGCAATGAGGTAAAAGTACACGTATACTTTTAGATCTATGCGAGAATGTCCCAGAGGTCCTAATTAAGACGTAATGAAATTCTAATGAGAAATTGTGCTGTATTGTTGACCTACCTGTTGCTGTGCCAGGTCGTTATAATATATCACTGCCACTCCTCACCCCCCCTCCTCACCCCCCTCCTCACCCCCCCTCACCCCCCCCCTCCTCACCCTCACCCCCTCCTCAAACCATCCTCACCTCCCCCCCCCCACCAACCTCCCACCCCACACCGTTGGATCACATCCTGTAAATTAAGACGTAAAAGAGACACCTTCCTTTTTCCACTTGCATGAGCCTTGTTTTTTCCACAGTAATAATAATAATTATAATAAGAATAAGAATGAGAAATTAAGAAGAAGAAGAAGAAGAAGAAGAAGAAGAAGAAGAAGAAGAAGAAGAAGAAGAAGAAGAAGAAGAAGAAGAAGGAAGAAGGAAGAAGGAAGAAGGAAGAAGGAAGAAGAAGAAGAAGAAGAATGTTTCGTTTATTTTTAAAAAGTACTTTCTGCTATTTGATTCATCTTTTGAATGTATGACGGAGCCAGTGCAAAAAGTACTAGAAGTAGGAACGTCAACAAGGTACAAGCACCCTCTCCGGTACAAGGTTGAAGGGGGAGTGAAAGATCTAGAAATTACACATGATAATATTGTACTTGTATAGTTTTAGTTCAACTCCGTGCAAAGTGTTTGACAATTGTAACGGCGTCAGCGGTATTTGATGATATAGTGTGGGTGGTTGGTGAGTGCTCTGGTGTGGTTTGCTCTTGCTTTTAGATCAAATGGCTGTCTATCATCATTACTTCACCTCCTTCTAATCTTGCAATGTTACTCTCTTGTAACGCTACTAATCTTCGGCACCTATAATATGACATGATTGTGTTGCAAATGCCGTAAAACTAGTACATGTACTAAACCTAATAACAAGGTTGTTTCGTTTCTGTCAACAGGACATAATATCTACCCACTCCTCGGTGATATCTGAAAGACAGGAGAGGAATGACATTCTGTGTGTGAGTGTAGACTCATCCCTGGATTATTCCATCTATGCCCCACGGGGTATCGCCAGTCACCCCACGGTCACATGAACTTTTAACTTGAACGATAACCATGAAGCTCCGAAGCAGCGACGAGGGAGTGAAAGTTGTACCCGGTGTCGACATGCACCCGCCGTACGCCTCACCTTTCTCCGCTTCGTTCCGCCCCACCATCGACAACAAAGAACCGCTTCCCATTTCGCCGCTCACGGGCCTTAGCAACGGGATAGACTCACCCCGCGCGCACGGCGTCCTTAGTAACTACCACTGCTCCCCGCAGCAACAACAGCAACCCGCGGACGGCGAAGAGGAGTACGGTGGCGCGCGACAGCGGCTGACGACGACGACAACAACAACAGCAGCAACAGCAGCAACAGCAACTGCGGAGCGGAGTGAGGACGGAAAGGGTGGCCCCTCCCTGCCGGCTACGCCAGTCTCCGTCACTCCGCGGCTGACCTACGATTTGGACGAGATTCTCCGAAAACACGGAGTGACTCTCACGGCCGCTCGGGACGCTGCTGATCCGAACTCAACAAACGAACGTTTGGTGGATGCACGAGAAAAACACGAAGGAGAAAAAGAAGAAGGAGAAAAAAAAGAAGGAGAAAAAGAAGAAGAAGAAGAAACAAAGGAAAAACTACAACAACAAGAACAAGAACACCGAGTTTTGCGGCTGTCCGAGTCGGCCCCGACAGCCGGTGGTCCTGGCGTGGTTTCCCCCGCGGCCTCGTGCGAGGGTGGAGGACCCCCGGTAGTTCCCGCCATGACCAAGACGTTGTCGGACACCGCCGCCCTCAGCTCGGGGGCGGGCCGGAAGCCCGGGGGTTCCAAGGACCCGGGTCACGTGAGCCACCAGTTCTTCCACGTGGAGCCGTGCATCTACACACACCGGATGTTCCGGCGAGCCGCCACTATCTTCGGCGTGCTCAAGGACAGCGAGTCCGAGTCGGAGGAGGTCAAGGCCACACGGAGACGCCTGGGCAAAGCGGCCGCTGCCGCCTTCGGGGTGGAGCCCCAGGACAAGATTCCGGACATGGATTTCCTGGACGCTCACGAGCAGATCAAGACGTTTGAGCTCACCTTCGCCACCCTCAAATGTGAGTAGACGGGCATGGCCGACTGCGGAGTTGCGTGGTTGTAGACAGTCCGTGTTATTGTGAAGTTACGTTGTCGACAGTCCTGTTTGATTGTGAAGTTACGTTGTCGACAGTCCTGTTTGATTGTGAAGTTACGTTGTCGACAGTCCTGTTTGATTGTGAAGTTATGTTGTGTGAGTTTTGTTGTCTGAGTTAGGTTACTTTGTCAAAGTTTCTTTTTCCGGTGTCAGGTCTGGATCAGACATTGACGATCAAGGAATCCCAAGCCTTTCCTGTTGTCAGTTCAGTTTTTTTCTCAGGTGTTATTTTTACAAAGTTGTTTAGACCATAATATGTGTTTGTTATTCTCTGTCCTCCTCTGCTCTTCCTTTCCTCTATCGTTCTACATAGCAGTAGGTTTTCTAGTCTGTTTGGTCCATTTATGTGGCCAAAGAATCTCAATTGTTTCGTTCTGATGGTTATGATAATAGGTCTTTTTTCAAACTACCACTTTGAGCACTTCTCTGTTATTTTGTTTTCTTCTCATTCTGTCCATGAGATTCTGAGTATTCTCCGTAACCCTATCCGTACGCCCTGGGTCATTTTGTATCCCCGGGTTGTATTCTTTACATTTTAGAATACTTTTAGTACGAAAATCTCTTTGAAACTTTCAGTATTTCTAAAAAAAATTATTTTGACAGACTGTTATGCAAAGCGTACGAATCGGATTAACGAGTAAATTTCCTCTTTGAAAGTGGTGGCACAGAGTTCCCGATGTCGTATGGATACGATAGTAAAACACGACGTACAGATAAGGTTAAGTGGTGGCACAGAGTTCCCCACGTCGTATGGATACGGTAGTAAAACACGACGTACGGATAGGGTTAAATACCACCTTTCGGCGGCTTCTTGTCGTCTCTCTGTGTTCTTGTTTAGAGTCCAGCTCTCTCACCCATACAAATACAAATGGACTGGCCATACGTACCCTTTCGGGGTTCATATTGCTGTGTTCACTGTTACGTTCCTATTTGAGAGGACGGGGTATAATCTTGCAGGAAGTTTCTTAGATAAATTATTGCAATCATCTGTTTCTAAAAAACTCTGCCACTTTTTGCATCTTGTGTAATAGTGCGACCAGGGATTTAACGCTGTTGACTGTGTGTGGTTGGCGGGTGTTCTGTTCTGGTGTGGTTAATTCCTTCTTTCCAGTCAAACATCTATGGTCCTGATCTCTCCTCCTTCTTTTTGTGTTTGTTACTCGCTTGTGACACCTTTAATCTTCGGCAATTATATGACCCTATTGTGTTGCAAGTGCCGTAAAACTCTTACTAAGAAGAGAAAAAAAATACGCTGTTGACCTGTTTTATTCTTTCATTCCTACCTGTGATATTGCGTTCATGGATGTGGCCACTTTTTGAGATCACCGTGAATTCCGTTTTCTCGGCGCTCAGTTGTAACACCTTTGCCTCGATTTTCTCAGTCACCCTCGTTAGAATCTCCTGGAGATTGGAACATTTCTAAGCTATGTTGCCTAAATTATGTTGTCTATGTTACGTTTGTCGAGTCCGTCTGGTAGAATTTTCTATGGCTGCTGCTTTTTTTTTCTGTCCGTTTTTTTCCCCAAGGTGTATGGGATCGTGACCAGTGGGTGGAGGTTTTGTTTAGGAAGTTGGTGGAGATGTTGGCGGGGCGATGGACTCTACTTCAAGCATACTTATTGTTTCCAGATGAAAAACGTGTGTGTTTGTGAGGGTTGTTTTGTTGCGTTATTATCGTTGTTGTTATTTTTATTATTTTTAGGGGGGTTGTTTGTGGGTGATTGGTTGTCTGCCACTGGTAGGCCATCCTTCTGTTCTTTCCCTCTGTTGTTTCGGTCTTGCTTTGTTATGGTATCGATGTGCTTCTCTTTACTCAAACTCAAAGTCAAACTTTTGATTTATTTCTTTTGTTGTCGTTTGATTTGATTTATTTATTTATTTTACACGTTTCTATCTTTTTTCCTTGTGTGTGTGTGTGTGTGTGGGGGGGGGGGGGTTGGGAAGAGACGGGTGCTTTTGAGACAGATGTCTTATTTTATATTTTACACATAATTTCCTTTGTGGCGAAAAGCAGCATCAAGTGCTCCCTTGTATCCGTGAAAAAATCAGCACAGACCATCATAAGTCGCTTTTACCGCCGATACCAACAACAAAACATTCTAACTCTTTCCATTCAAGGTTGTTGTACCGTTTGAGTAGTTCAATACAAATGTCGTCATTTTGTGTTGGGAAATCGTAAGAAACCAACCAAACAATTTTTTTCTTTAAATCAGAGGATACGATATTATTATTAGAAACATCCCGTACCGGCACACCCAACCTTACCCCCCCCCCTCCGTCCCCACTCCCCATTTTTAAATGGCGCGTAATTCCCCACTTACCCTGATCGGAGTAGGTCAAAGCGTTCGATTTTCGAGATAACCGAATACTTGCACACAATGGAAGCGTTGGGAAATCTTTGTTGTTTTCAACCCGGACTTTTTCAACTGTCGCCCCGAGAATGTCACACTTGGAATATTTGCCAGTTCTGACGTAGGGAAATTCATTGTCAAACACGCAGTGAAAGTGATTTGTTATAGTGCTTTTTGGTTCAAACTCGCGTTGTAAAATTAGAACGTTTTGCCCGTGCGGTTGGGTTTTGATTGTGCGTTCAGTGAGCCCTTGTTCTTCTTTGTCATTTCCGTACCCTAGAATTACGTAGCTCTATCTGCCCTGTGCCTAGTACTGAGAAATTTGACGTCAAAGATTTTGAGTTTCTCAAGATGTCAAATTTTTTCAAAAGCGATTTTTTATTATCATCTAGATAACGACTTCGAATAATCTTACGAGTTTGATCTAGCAGATGGAGCATTTTGTTTCTGACCTCATGGTCTTTGTAACTCAAAACAGCCAAAATGTCAGATAGAATTTGTAATTTTGAGGTAGAGATTTGTCTGCTGTTTGTGTACCACACCCATACAGTTATCCCCTTTTAAACGTATAGTGTACATCTATGACCACACCTGACTTTTTCTTTCACTGTCCGACTAGATGTGTGTTTGTCAGATTCTCTTTGTTTTGAACAAGTTATATTTAAACGTACGCATAGATAGCCAGACTAACAAAGACCTCGGTTCTGTCAGTCTGATGGGGTCCTAACCACAAACAGTTGTTGATCTTTGCTGTAGATGTGCGTATGTGTGTGTGTGTGTGTGTGTGTGTGTGTGTGTGTGTGTGTGTGTGAGTGTGTGTGTGTGTGTGTGTGTGAGAGTTATAATTTTTCTTAAGAGTGTGGGCACCTACTCGTGTGTCCTGTGGGTGGTTGGCGGGTGCTCTGGCGTGGTTTGCTTCTTCTTTCCCCTCAAACATCTATCGTCCTTATCTCCCCTCCTTCTTTTTTTTGTGTTTTGTTACTCTCTTGTAACACCTCTAATCTTCGGCACGTATATGACCTAATTGTGTATGTTACTCTCTTGTAACACCTCTAATCTTCGGCACGTATATGACCTTATTGTGTATGTTACTCTCTTGTAACACCTCTAATCTTCGGCACGTATATGACCTTATTGTGTATGTTACTCTCTTGTAACACCTCTAATCTTCGGCACGTATATGACCTTATTGTGTATGTTACTCTCTTGTAACACCTCTAATCTTCGGCACGTATATGACCTTATTGTGTATGTTACTCTCTTGTAACACCTCTAATCTTCGGCACGTATATGACCGTATTGTGTATGTTACTCTCTTGTAACACCTCTAACCTTCGGCACGTATATGATCTTATTGTGTATGTTACTCTCTTGTAACACCTCTAATCTTCGGGACGTATATGACCTTATTGTGTATGTTACTCTCTTGTAACACCTCTAATCTTCGGCACGTATATGACCTTATTGTGTATGTTACTCTCTTGTAACACCTCTAATCTTCGGCACGTATATGACCGTATTGTGTATGTTACTCTCTTGTAACACCTCTAACCTTCGGCACGTATATGACCTTATTGTGTATGTTACTCTCTTGTAACACCTCTAATCTTCGGCACGTATATGACCTTATTGTGTTCGTTACTCTCTTGTAACACCTCTAATCTTCGGCATATATATGACCTTATTGTGTTTGTTACTCTCTTGTAACACCTTTAATCTTCGGCACGTATATGACCTTATTGTGTTGCAAGGGCCGTAGAACTCTTACTAAACCCCCCCAAAAAAACTAACTTAACCTGGAAATATAACAACATGCTACCTACGTCCTACCAGCAGCAGAGAAAAGACAGCCTTGAGACACATTCGGAGCCACCCCACACAAATCAGAAACATGAGTTTGCATAGTTCTCTGTAGCATGTTGTTATAGTTACGTCATTTGCAGAATGGACACACTGCTGCATGCCTGTGAAAGAAGATCGTGACCTGTGCCAGACAATCTATTAAAGCTCTAACGATTTGTGGGTGGGATTTACGGCTCGTGTCGTCGGTATTGCAACTCGTTTAAAAGATTTTTTTCAAGTTTTACTCTGGAACATCAAACATAGCCTGTGTTTACAGCTGACGAGCTCAAGTGAAGTCGAATTTCATCCGATTCTTTACCAAGTCGAAAAAACGAGAACAATAATTGGTCGCTTTTAAGGTCAAGCAGGCTAACCCAGATTTCAAGGGTTTCCAGAAATCTTGACCTAAATCAAAAGTGGGCATTGCCCTACCTACAGGAGAAGTTTGGTTTCATTGGTGTGTATGTGTTTGGTTAAAGAGAAAACTCTCCTTGTCTTTTAAAGGAACTGAATAAGGGGCAAAAAACTTTACCTTCGATTTACTCAAAACAGAATTTTTCGGGATAGCCCCCTTGTGCTTAAAAGCGGCCAATCCCCCCCCCCTCCCCCAAATTTCTG